GTCTCAGATGCCATAGTTTCGGGTTTCGCCCTCGAGACCAGTCGAGACTATAACAAAATGGGCAGCTAGCTACCACATGTGCACACTGTTGCAAAAGGCAAAATTACCTCCGCTCGAGTCAAATCTTCAACCACTGATATAAATACAACACAGTAATGTTCAGGTTTTTTGCAATAAACAATAAAATTGATGCTGGAATGAAGACTAGTCAATGCAGCATGATGCAACCTTGTCCCAAGTTGTTACTTTATTTCCAATCCATAGTAGCCATGCTGCTTGACACCATGGAGATGAGGTTGCGAGTAGTGGAATTCGCACATTAGACTGGTTCCCGTTCCCTATGTAGTCTCCTGCTGAACGTAGGGCCGGGACGGGAACCAGTCTGTGTGTCTGCGCATGCTATGAATTGTGTGCATTTGTGAAAGTGCTTTCATTCCGTCTTGTATATGGTACGTGTTGTTTTAGTAGTTTCGTTACGGTACATAGATATTTGTTTTTCAGTATTTTGCTTAAAAAAAAAACAGTCTAAGGATATTTGTTTTAATGTTCACATCATATCATTTGGGACACTCGGGTTGGAAATGACCAGACCAGGGTTAAAGTAGAGCAGTATCACTGATAAAAGAACTGAGACATTCTTTAACTAATATTTGACCTGTTTGTGAGTTTATGCTAATGTTTTCATTTTATTTCTTTTGTACTTAATTGTACTGCCATATGTTTGTCCCTATTTACCTTTTGGTAAAAACTATAAACATTGGTTAATGGTTGGTCTCGGATGTCAACTTGCAAATTGGCAAGTTTGGATTATATCTCCTGTAATTTTATCAGTAAAATATACAATTTTTCGATATCAAATACTCTCTTCTTCACACCAGAAAAACTACTGCCTTCCAGTCAGAGGTAGTTTGTCATTTTGTATTAACCTTATTATATATTCACAAGCTCATGAATATCAGTAAGTTGGCATTTAAACCAATCAGGAAAAGGGGTGTTTTCAAGCTGTTTGACAAATAAAAATGATTAAAACTTGACTTGCCAGACTGTATAGTTTGGTTCATTTTCATGCGAATGCTGGCTAGAGCTTGCATAGCAACAGGCAGCTGAGTGACCACCAACTTTGTTAGATCAAAGGCTGACATGAAGAGGGGATTTGGAATTGGAAAATCACCTGAGGGCTTTGGATTTTGGATGGTATCATGATGCTCAGTTTGTAGAAGTTGGAAACCTTCGGAGGAAGGTCTCCAGAGAACATCCAGAGAGTTACATGTAGTTGTCCAAGAAAGACTACAGCCACCGGTAGAGAAGTCGGGGCATCGTATGGACATTGACGTTTGTAACATAGCAATACTGCACCCAAATCACCGAACCAAACTAGAATGACACCAACAATAAAACCAAAACCAGGCTGGTCCCTTCCGATGTTTGTCACCTTCAATGCAGTAGTGAGAGTGAAGTGTATGCATACCCAGCATTCTAGGTATAATGCCATTCATCTGGCAGCCACACCTCAACATTCTGTATTAGGTCGATAATGTCATCAAGTACCTGAAACAGCATGCACTACTGTAGGTGACACCTCCTGCCTGCCAGCCAGCGACAGGAACACATGCAACTTGAGTCTAGTTTCCTTTTCTTGGGTGGGAAAGTCGTAATAGCTTGAGCTACCGACTGTCACAAACATTGGATATCATTGCCTCGATAAAATTTGGCCAAAATGGAAGTTTCTTTCCTTTTTTTTTATGTTGAATAGCTAATTGCCGTAGACTTATTCCAGTGAAGACTGATGGAAATGTTGTCTCATGTTGGCATGTGCGTGTATGTAATGAGCAAGTACACACAAACAGGCTGAAGCACTTGACAGAAGTCTTCATCAGTACACGTCTACACAATTGGATGTGCGGTTATGGCAACACGTGGACAGGTACTATTGCCTGTAAATCAACTCCAATCAGATATTCAGTAACGAAGGGGACTCCAGTACTGGTTGGACCAGTTTTTAAATGTCTACATTTCCTTCAGACATTTGTCGAAACTCACGTTGCACATCTGCTTTTGGTTGAAATAAAACATATCGGAAAACGTGATGTGGGAACTGTAAATGACAGTAGCTGTTGTCTGCAATCTGCATGAAACAGTTTGATTATTTTGATCAGAAGTTGGAACTAGCAATATCGCAGGAAAAACACCTGTGAAAAAAGTCAGTACATGTTCAGTAAGAGTTGTCATCATTTTTATTTGCAGATTAATGTGCCGATAATTGTATGGTAACACCCCAAATAAATTGAAATTGTAAGCCTTATTGTTGGCATATTGTACATGTAGGTGTGGTTTTTTAAAAAAAAAAGCCAATCATTGCCAGTCAGACAGTTAGAGATAAGTTGTGTTCCCAGATAGGCTCCGGCTGATGGAGTACTGTTCACATATCTCTGACATTTCACTCTACAGAAGAACAGATTGATTCTCCTGCCGATGTATAGTGTATTGTACGTCTAGCCCACAGCAATGCTGATGGCCATTTTAGATTATTTGGTCAGACTTATTTCAAGCAGTCCCTCACTGATTATGTCCTGGATGATGCCATGGCCTGGAATCATATGTCTGCACGTTCTTGGTACACTGTTGCCCTGCCAGTAGAGTCTGTTGATATCGCATTTTTCAACAAACAGATGTATTGGAAATCCAGTATTGAGTATAAATGTATTTGATGGTTGGCTGGTTGGTGTGTTCAGGCACATATAGCACATGCGTGTACTCTTTATGCCATTAACAGAAAAGGGCATTTGTTGAAACAAGATAGAGGGCACAAAGTCCTACCAGAGTCACGAAAATTATGAGGTAATAGCTCTGTCGGTTAAAGCTGGATAACTGTAGGTGCAAACAGGTGTATAAAAAGGTAGGCTGGTATGCAGTAGAAATGATGACGAACCCCACAGGAAAATGATCAGGGATGGGGAGTGCTTGCGATCCTTCAGGAACAAAGTGTGTATTTGATGTATCGATTATTCCCTATGAACGGTAAACTCTCAACTGAACCAGATAACTTAGAAATCAGTTCCCTGCAATAATAATAATCCGATCATAATGTACGTAATGCCTTCCTGTCAAGAGAATAAGATATTACAATGTATACATAACTATATGTATACATGTACATGTCCATAACTTGGATACCCATGTGGTGCTTCCATTTAATTAGCTGTTTCGTTTGACTGACATGAAAGAAACCGCCGCAGAAACAGTCGAAAACAGGTGTAAACAGATTGAGAAACCTTTTCATGAGTGGTTGCTCTCCAACGCACTTTGTCCTTTGACGCAGGGATGTGGTGTGCACACAGTATGCTACCGTTGTGATAGACAAGAAGTCGCGATATCCAGCTGCAGTATTGGCTGATTAAAGCTACTCTCCTGGTTGTAATCGCACAGTCTAAGACCAGTCCGTGGCTCTTTGTGATGCCCTGTGACCGTGCTTCAAACCTGGCTTTTGAATTAGCCCGATCACTTGCGCTCCCTCAGCTGCAAGTTTTGTGTACAGTTTACTGCGACATGTATGTATGTCGCACTTACATGTATAATTTCCAGGCCAAATTAATGCAACAACCAACTGGAGATTCATTTTGTCAATCTGGCTTGCTTTCGATATGTTCAATATTGGTTTCCGTCTTGTGTTCCCTGTGAATGTCCCTGTGATACCGGTACATCCTATGTACATGACATCATGCACATTCAGGCTTCTTGCATCATATTCTACTGTGTTTGGAGAGCCACATGTGGCTATGTCTATTGTCAATGCGCCTCTGTGATTTCTCAATGGAGCAAAGACCTGACTGCCTTAGTCCTGTACGATAATCCTGGTTGTTTAACATGGATAAAAACTGACACCTCAACCAGGGTGCTGGCAAGGCCTCGCGCACGTGTATTCCGGTGACTTCTGATGTCTTTCTAAATTATCTGAGGCATTTGAGCCCGAGCCAAACTCATTTGCCAATTGTAATCAGGGACGATGATTCAGCAGTCTGCTTCCATTCCCCACTGGTACTCAGCATAGTTCACCGTCAATTTATGATCTGAGATACCGGTAAGGATGTGATGATTTGTCTAGATAAAGGGCTTGGTGAAGGTGACCTGTGCCTTTTTGTGAGACAGTAACTCAAGTCAAGACAGTATTCTACATTTGTATTTTGTGTGTTGATAATATGTCTCTCCCGAGTGTGTTCTCCCTCTTGCTCCCATCAACTCTTGCCACCATCAGAGCAGTCATCCCTGGTACAATAGATACATCTTTGTCACAATGCAGTGACTCATTGGCCCGTGGGTCGGGGGAGGCTGGCCAAGCCAAGCCAGCCCAGCCCTTGATGTGTCTGAGCCAGGTTAGCGTGCATACATAATGACAGACAGTGCCTAGCCGGCCGTGGTGGGGGTGAAGCTGACCCACGCGGGAGCCATGCTCTCCACAGTATCTGCCCATGCCACCGTCAACTCCTCGTTCTGCTTGCTGCTGCTACCCTGCTCGTCTGCCGCCAGCTGCAGAGTAGCTTCATCTACAAACAATGGATGTACCTATATCCTACACTTAATTTTACTCGTATGCTTTGTTGGTACATGTGTATAGTTGCATAATCACAGGAGCTGAGGTGCATGATGCAGGCAAGAATTCCCTTTTTTTTGGTAATTTTTGGTAAAGTTTCCATTTGCAGTTTACAAATAATGTTGATTTGGATTGGTGCAGTATCTGTTTTGATGATAAAATGGACGAGTACTGTACTAGTTACATGTATGATACTACCAAACTGTATGTACGGTGCAGTGTACACGCATGTGCATTTATTCCAGTATGCGAAACAATATAAAATTATTTAGGGATGAGATTTGTCAGGATCGTTCCCGATTCCAGGATTTTTTTCATCATTTTTTTTTTATTTCAGGCTTTTTCAAATGTCTCATAATCTGGCAAATCCTGAGATTTCCATTAAGATAGTATTACATATATGTACATGTATAACGTGATGTAGAACACAAGAAGTGGGTATTTGAAAGCGTGTCTTAGGCAAGTACAAATGCATACCATAAATGCTACGCTTCTGTGGGCCCTGCAAGCCTCTGGGGATTTTTTTTCATGGATAGTGGTACTTCATGTTCCTCCCAGTCTTACGCCCGATCACCAGAACCTTTTATTCCCACAAAGAAAATAGTCCAGTCATGCGTAAATCAAATTTGCTTGTAAATATTTTAAAATGATCAGGCAAATTAATTTATCAGTCATTTAAATTAGTTATCATTAAGTTGTTGACTTGAATGCTGAATAACCTTTTCTGCCCTGAAGGCTGAAAGCCGGGGAAGTACTCATAATGTGTAGTTAAAGGCTTTCGAAATGTGATCTTATTTTCTCTTTTATTTTACTCTGAGTTGGCTGATGTTTATTTGTCTCAAGACAAAATTAGGTGAATATTCAATATCCTTTGAGTGGTGAAAGTAATTTGAGATATGTGTGTACTTGAAACAATTATTCCATAGGTAAAGATTGCACAGAACTACATCGTACATGTACCTACGCTGAACGAACATTTCTATGAGGAGAAACAATCGGACTGAAACTGAAATGGTCGTATTTGTTACACTGGAGAGTCAGTTTTGAATTAAATTCATGTTCTGTAGGACATCAAAACCTTGCACAAAGAAGAGATTGTAATGCTATGGCCCTATGCACTCAGGTCATCAGAAATGCTGTTCACATAAGCCCACCGAATCCTTTGTGTGGAGGGAGCCAGACAATGCCCGGCCCGCTGACTGGATGTGTACTAGACTTATGCAGGGCCCGCTGTGAGTGTGTGTCTGTGGGAAATTCCCATTCAGGGCAGTCTTGGCGTTGTACTGTGGGTGCATGCTCAGTGCCAATGCACTGGTGGTTTTTACACATGTTCACAGTGCTGCACAGGACCTGAGTTCTCAGAAAATGCTGAATTATATATGCTCACAGGCCATTCTGTACGGTGTAACTCTTTCAGGAGTGGAGTTTGGACTGTCAGGGTTGTATGGCAATGTTTTGTTGGTCTTTTTTGTTGTGAACATATTACTGTATACGTGTAGTTTGAAGAAAATCAAGTGTGACACAATGAAACTTACTCGTAAATTGCATATCATGATTCAGGACCTTAAGATTTTTTAGGCTTTGTTTTGAACTGACTGCACTTTCAGTGAATGGGTAAAAGTCTGCAGAATGTAGTGTGGTAGTCATGTATAGTATAGGGGCTTTGCGTGGTGGCCATGTTGCAGGACAGTTCTTGTGTTCCACAGTACATGTAAAACTTCCCTTGTGCATACCCTGTTGAACAAAAACATTGGCCTGCAAGATGGCAGCCAGGGTTTGCCTTTAACCTTTTTTTTCACTTGCCAGCCAGGCCAGCAGTGATGGCTATTTTACAAGTCTGCCCGCATTTTCACCAGTCCGCATCTTTCCCTGATTTCAACATTCTTTTTGGCAGTAGTGTTTTCTGCTCCCAAATCATGCATAACAGTGTGATCTCTGCGCTGACTGTTCTTTGATTGTTGATGAGTAATCATAAATGGCCATGGGACTTACATGAAAGAATTTCCAGAATATCCATGATTATAACTGTACTCAAGCAAATTAAACACATAGACAAAGTGGTTACCTGCTGAAAATGGTTTGTTTTATTCACAATCCAAGAGACAGAAAAAAACCCATATTATTACGAACAGTTTATGTACATGTACGTGGATATGTACATTCTTTGCAATACGTACATGTACACACGCATATGTACACCCAGCGAAATGCACATGTGCATACATGTACATGTTCGTTTTGGACCGTGTCCGGTACCTGTATGTAACGCGCAAACCAAACACAAAATCACAACTGCAACATCACCAGTGTCACAACTACCTGTATCAATGACCAATCAGTGGACCAGCGTTAAGGTCGAACCCTGGCAGCCATGCAAACCCCCTGTTAGCCAGGGGTGAGATTTTGGATTTGAGCTTTTTTCCCTCACTGGCTGTGTACAAAAGTACAGGAGATTTTCACAGTTCAGCTTCTTTATGCCTTTTTCAGCTGTTTTTATGATTGGTCAATCTCACCCCTGATTAGCCTTCTCACAAGAGCGGAGTTGTTGGACCCACCAAAGTGTTGAATCAAGAGAAGTAATGTCCGCTGATAACGCTGTACGCAATATTGTTAATGCTGTCTGGGTGAATCGCTGTGAACCGTAAAAATGCTGAGAAGCCTCCTCCGGCTTTTGTCACTCACTTCACTGCAATCCTATACCCCTTTATTTGAACACCATCTTTGTGTGGGAGTTGTGGGGGGGGAATGAATGCCAAATCCCTGCAAAGAGAATGTAGAAACACAGCACTCCAAATTACTGGGCTTCAAAACAGTATTTGAATGGATTTGTTTGGACTGCATTTTGTACAAGGAAAAACTGAAAATGTGTGGTCTGTTCATTTATTGAGTACATAATTTGTACCATGTACATGTTTGCTTATAATTTGGATTAGTTTTACAGTCATCTTTGTCTTGTATTTCATGTTTATTCATGAATTGGAAGTACATTATGTCATACTTGATGAAATGACAAATATGCATACTGTAGAAGCAGTGTGCACCGAAATTCAGTTACATTTGCTCAAGAACAAGAAATGATTTGTGTTTTGTCTTATTTACACTGTAGCTTTCTTTGTTTCTGCTTGTTCCAGGTCCGATCAGGTGATGTTAGTAAGGTGAATAACATGTTCCAGTCGCTTCAGATAGGCAACGATGGAAGAGAGGTAAGCAGCCACACTCTCCTCTTCTATGTCTCATTTGAGGTTGGAAATCAGCACCCTTTCGAAAACAGTTTGGAAGAAGGTGCACAACACAGTATAGTAGAGCTTGTTGATGCATCTTAAATTTGAATTCAGTAACGTGACTGGTGTCTCATGAGGTACAGCTGTGTGGGGCATTTTGTAGTGACTAGTGTGATTGTTAGTTACCGGTACATGTATATTTGGTCCGAGTTTATTCATTTTTTGCTTCATTTTTGCTTCATTTTTGCTATCTGTTGGTATGGATTTGAAGATTTTTCCCATTTCAGATTAGAAAAAGGGGGAAAAATTGTCGAAAATTCGTGGAGGAGGTGCCTGGGGTGGGGGGGCAGGTTGGGGGTGGTTCTTGTTTACAGGTGGATTATTGCAGTTTTGCATTTTGTATTGTTTTAGTACGGCTACCATGTTGTCAGTTTTCTCCTCGATAGTGGTTCAAATGAGATAGAGCCCACTTCACCGATTCAATAGCTGTCTCATTTTTTTCCATTGTAGCCACGTACATGTACCGGGGGTCGAGTACATTTTTTTCTTAAACTAGGGATGTCTGTTGTCTTGTCAGAGTTGATGACAAAACCAACGTACCTTTTGAAATCTGGGCAGGTGTTAAGTTACCGTTTGCTCTTGCATTCATAATTTATGATCATTTTGTGTACATGTGCATGTACAATACTGGTGTGACACATTGCAATTCAGGCTACTGTACGTGTGCACGGGTTTCAATGTAGAATCTGCCATGACACAGCATTGTTACTGGTATAATTTGTTTTCTTCCTCTTTTTAACATATCAAAATAAAAATGTAAATAAAATTGTAAAAATGTAAAATTGCTTTTGGTAGTTGTTCTATCAAGTTAGTGACTACTTTGTGCATGTTCACAAAGTCCCATTACACTTTTTATGCAAGTGTTAGTGTGATCGGCGTATTTTCTCAGCAATTATTTACATGGACTTTATTATACATACATGTACTGCTGTTTTTCTCACAAAAACTCGGGGAGAAAACCTGGCCCCATGAATATCAGTTGATTTCGTCAACTTAGGCAATTCGATTCCCATCTAGTTACATGTACCCGTATTTGTAGACTTGGAATGATTTATTTTAGAATACGTTTATGAGAAACGACCAACGTAAATCTGAAATTGGATGGAATTCAATTTCATAAAAGGCATACAAAACTGGATCGTCGTAGTGGGTGTAGCTACCGTAGGTGTCCATGTAACATTTTTTCACAGTGCCCCCCCCATGTCAGCATAGCTGGGGCACAGACACCATTATGAGTGTCAGCAGACTCACAGGGAATGCACAGATGTGGGCCTGTCACCCCCCAAAAATGAGGCGATAATCAGCACTGTTGAAACTTGAGATTTTGGGTTTTTTTTTTCAATACAACACTTGGGGTAAAAGCAGATGACAATGTGGCATTCTTCGGGCACTTTGTTTCTTTGTATTCAGGTTTTGTTTCAACATTTCTGACCGCGAACTAATAATGCTATCGTCAAACTTTGTAAGAAAATGAAGATTTTTACTATCTAGTCTTGCTAAAAAATTTGGAATTGAATAGAAGATGGGTTACTCTTTCCAAATATAACAAAACCCCAAAGTTGCCCCCACAAATTGAACCCTCATAAGAGGAAATAGCTGAGTGCAACTTCAAGCTTATTTTGTCGGAACAGGCCCATATGTTCTCGATGTCAGCAACAAGGACTTAGCGAAGCACTCTTGATATCTGCTGTCCTCTGGATTTCTTATTTGAAACTGCAAGCATAATCTGCAACATGTTTAGACGACATTAGGCCCCCCCCCTCAAAAAAAAATCATTGCTTCCCATTGTATGGCTCTGAAAAATAAGGTTGGTAGGGCAGAGTCTTTTCTGTGGGGAATATTTTTTTTTGCAGATAGATTTTGCAGGGTGTTTAATTATATCTTAATTTCAGCCTGAACTATGTGATTTACACTGTGAAAGCTTAAAAATAAGGCCAGAAAAATGATCAAACTTGTCTTAAGTGATGCAAAAGAATGTGACTGTCTATGATTCTTAAACATAATAGAGACTTTGGGTCATACACACTACTATGCACAACGCCAGTCTGACCAAGTGACCTGACCAACAGTGTCAATATATTGTATAGTGAAAGTGTGTGATGCATCTGGGAGGAGGGTGATGAACCATGGAACACGCTTGCCTGTGGAAACAGGTTTGCTTCAAGTACTGGTACAAATGATATACGATAGCTTCAGATTACATTCACGAACACAGAAAATGTACATACATAGACATATCAAATTCTGTGAATCAAAACTTTAACGGAAATTTTGTTGTTCCATTAATGTTTTTCGACATGCAGTTTCTATTTGGCCGGGAGGCATTGACTGGTTGCTGCATTACAGTCATGCCGTCTCTGGCAATGGTGCAGCGGGAGGCATTAGCTCTCCCTTTTCCATTACCGCAGTAGCGAATGGCAAAGGGAACTTGTGAAAACAGCAGAACTTTCTTCTCAAATTGCAGATGTACATGCAAGTAGGCAAACATTTAAATACAAGTGTTTTGACATTACCAAAAGCTTTTGATAAGCAATTTGTGAAGACTAAAAGGGCATCTGGATTTATTTTTATTTTTAAAAATTTTTTATTTATTTTTTCAATTTGATAAAAATTCGGGGTCAGACGAAAATTTTTTAATTAAAAAAAAATTTTTTTTTTTAAATTGATAAAAATTCGGGGTCAGACGAAAAATTTGGGTCGGTCGGGAAACCAGAAGCAGAACTTTTCTTGGTTTCAGCAACTAATACAAGGCAGAATGCTGCAGCTTGCAGTGTACTGTATACGTATTTGTTTCATGTATACCTCTCTTGAATACATTCCTTAAATTAATGGGCATGCTGCTTCAAGTTGAGGTTAAGTACCCCAAATCTGCCCTGTTGCTTCTTCCTTTGTGAGCCCCTCACCGCACCTTAAAATTTCACACTGAACACGTCACATCATATTTTCCAGGACAATCGTTGTGAAAAAAATCACTGTGGTCATCAGTTTCGAATTTAAAAAAAAAATTGTGGACTGATTAAAGGTTCAGAGAGAGAGGCCATGCTGGAGAATGACTCAACATGTGTCACTGTTTGCTGACATTTATGAATTGGGAATTTTCAAGGGATGCTTTCAATATTCAGATGCTGTTGAGTGTACATGTACTTGTACATGTAAAGAAAGTCATTGATATTTGAGGACGGTGACTTCCATGTTGAGGTTCAGACCAAGCCTGTAAAACGTTTGATATTTTGATTATTTTGCATGGTTTTTTTTTTTTGGAATCACATGCGGCGACAGACGCGAAGAGAAAAAATTGGTTCCGATCTCCTTTGTGTGTGATTCATAATGCGTCAGTGGATTCATGTGTCTTCATTTCTCATTAGTCGCCCGCCCACACTGCCACAAGCATATGCACACAGCTCCCAGGTTCCTGCGCATGCTTTCCTGTTGTCTCCTTGGGTTAATCAGTACTCATCACACGCAGGGCCTCCCATCTCTCAAAGCGTCTCTGTCTGCTGAGCCCCTGGCTTTGCCATTCACACTTTCTCGCCCTGATGGGGAGCACGCAGTCCGTGATTGTTGGACCCGTGATGATTCAGCATGGCCGGGCTTTAGTCACGTTGTTTAGGTGCAAAGTGTAGGGTCCTTTCTGTCTGATGCGTACACGTAGGAGTGTCTGCTGAGCCCCTGGCTTTGCCATTCACACTTTCTCGCCCTGATGGGGAGCACGCAGTCCGTGATTGTTGGACCCGTGATGATTCAGCATGGCCGGGCTTTAGTCACGTTGTTTAGGTGCAAAGTGTAGGGTCCTTTCTGTCTGATGCGTACACGTAGGAGAAAGGATTTTGAAAGCGGAGGAGATACCGGCATATATCCGCCTCCATGAATACCATGAAGGTAGGGGAGTTTTCTGTTTTATGCTGTGCAGTTGTTTCACAACTGACCGTTGATCACTTGCAGTGGTAAGCAATCACATATTGGTCTTAATTGATCGCAATAATCTGGCGGTATGTTGTACATGTAAACCATGCCTACACATACATTTACATGTACAAGCATTCATAAGCTTTTAGGATTTTAAATGTATTACAGTACAAGTTTTCCGGTCCCTCCTTTTGTAATGGCGGCGTACATGTATTTGTAACAGTATCTTGGAGTTGTGTACAAACGTATCTGTTCATAGATTGAGAGACTTCTGTTGACATGTTTTTCTTTTTTTTTTTTTTGTTGTTTTTATTTTTAGCCTACCCAGTCATTTTACATAGCACTTCTGTCAGCAACAATGCAATGACAAAAACTGCTTATTTGCAGTATTTTCTGCCTTTTTTTCTGCTTCATACGGGAGGTTTTGAAATTGTAACTTATGATATCCCTTGCACCATGCAGTACCTCACAAGGATTCAAACATTGTTTTCATGTGTTGTGTACACTTGGTTCAAATACATGTGTACCTTAAAGTTATATTTGGATGTTAAGGATTGAGTAAAAACTGAGTCATTTTCAAGAGATTACGGCCATTCCCCCCCCCCATTGGTAGGTGTACCAGTACCCGTACATGGTATGTGTGTGCACCTGTTGTTGTGTTGTCAGACATGCACTTGCTCCTGATGTATTTTGTTTTTTTTAATGACTTTTGATTGGATTGGCAAGTCAGAAGTCAAGAGTTATGTGTAGGTCATTTTACTCCAATGTTTCTAGCTGGCTATACTGATTTTGGTGTGCATGTGTATGTATTTATTTTCCAAAAGGACAGTGTGGCATTGGACTAAATATAAATCATTCATTTGCAAGTACAGGTAATTAGGATGTGCCTTTTTCCACTTAAAATAGGTGATTGAAATTTTCGGGCAATCCAGCCACTGAATGCACACTGTATCTCAATTACTTGGGAATTTTGCATATGTTGATGGAAAATTGAAAAAAAGTGATGACTTTCATCAAACCTTAATTATAGAATTTAAACAAAATTAATATCAATGCTTACATATCATTTTATTGTACAACTTGCTTTCAGAGACATAAAACCAAGAGTTGTAGTAAGATTATGTTTATGATGAAAAATAAAAGAATGTGATTCTTTAACAGGCTTTCTGGTGATATAATTTTTTAAATATCCCCACATTCATAAATTCTTAAGTAGTGGTCGTGATCTAATGCGTTGAAATTTAAACCAAGTCCTTCGACACACGTCAGATCCATGTGATTGGGAATGTCAAAGTTCACTGCAGTTGAAATATCTTCTGTGTGCACATTGCACCTAATGAACAAACCCCATTGCAGTTTATTGCTACCAGCATAATTTTATGGGTGGGTGCACTGACTAATAATTAGACAAAAAATGATAATTTGTCGGAAACAGCAACCTAAGAAGAAAGTGGAATATTCAGGCTAATCAGAATATTGTGTTGATGGTATGCTGTTGGCTGTGAACAGTGTAGTTTGAATGGAAGAATCAGTTGGAATCGGTGTGATATTTCCGACGTCATTAGAGGCAGTGGTACCAACATGTACCTGTCAACATTTATCCCTTTTTTTCAAGACTGTGACCCCCAGGTGATGAAGATAAAAGGAAAGTCAGACATTTTAACTGACATACACATGACAGGAAATAAGTTCTACTTATCATTATATACAGTGTACAGTCTTGTAACTGAATAATTTGGCTAAAAATTACCCTGAATAACTTCATGTTTTTGTTTATTTTGTTTACCAGAATTTGGAATGTTACTTGTGTCTTGTTTTTCCTTATTAGCTTTATCATTTACATGTACCTACATCGTACCTGATATACAGGGGAAGGGAACTTTGTGCATCACTGTGTATTACATTAAGCTCAAAATTACATTAACATGTACATGTATAGATGTGGCTGTCCAATTCAGAGTATTGCTACCGAAAGGAAACATTATGGTAGGCTGCACTGGCTTTACTGTACACTCCCCCTCCCCCCCAAAATGATAAAGAATTAGGTTTTTGAAAGTCAGAATGGCGGAATATTCCAACTATGCATCTTGCATGGCTTACCTTCATTTTCAGTCGTCGTGACGGTGTGCGCTTACTTCCAGATTTGCCGCTGTATGCAATTTCTGGGTACGGTAGTAATGTCAGTGCAAACAGAATGTGGATGTATTGTCCATATTGCACAGTGCCGTTGGTTCGCTTTAGCCACTGCTCTTTGTCACACTGTGAGGCCCCATCCTGGATTTTGTGTTGCTATCACAGATAGTAGCCTGTTGTCCCTGCTTCTAATTCCTCAACAGAAGTTGCTGTTTTCCTGGTCATTTCTAAACATTTTTAGTGCACAGGTCAGCATTTTGGTTTTCAAAATTCAGCTTTTACGACCATTATGAGTACCGATGATTTAGTTGCTTATATGATGTCTGTCTCTGTTCTCCTCTGAACAGTTCGATGTTTCCACCAAGAAATTCTGGGATAATGATGAAAGCAAGGGGGATATGTTCCTGAACCAGTGGCCAGTTCCTGGAAGTCAAACATGGGGTGTGCCTACATCAGGTGAGATGCAATCCGAGGGGAACGTTCACCTTACAGGGAGCTGCCCGGGCACTCTTTTGAGGAACCTTCAGAATCCCTTGGAAGTATTCGGTATCGCGATTTTGTTGTAAGCACTACATTCTGACTTGAGTGACAAGTAACACTTAGGGGATCACTGTTGTCTTTGCTGTTTCTCTGCAGACCATGCCGTGTCACAGCCTATCATGGTGCAGCGTCGCCTATCACCAGCCACCTTTCAGGGGCAGGAGAACACTGTTTTGTCCCCACGGTCGGACTCTGGCGGCTTGGGATTGAGCATGGCTGAATATGTCTTGGCAACGTCGCCACAGGGAAAGGCTGACATGGAAGGCAAGCTCAACCACCGCTTGAAGACAGGATTTGTAAGTCTCCATGTTCTCCGTTTTCAACACTTTACCATTTGCTGGAAAGATTGCGTTAGACAAGGATTTTTTTCACTTCAATTCCAAATGGCATTTATTTCCACGTGCTGTATGCAGGATATAACAGCAACAGAGCGTCAAAGTAAAAAAAAAATTTTCCTGGAATATTGTGTTGCCAGTATGATGCTTACGAAAACTCTTTCCCCTGAAGTCTTTCAATTTGTCTTTGCCAGCCTGGTCCTGGGCCCGCTGGTGATGCAGATACGGCAAACAAGAATGGAACCAAGAAAAGCAAAACGCCTTCTCCGTTTGAAGAAGGCGAAGAGAAGAAAGCGGAGAATAACGGCATACCACACAAGGAAGACGATGGCCCGTACATGTAAGCACGAGCTCTCTTCGATCAGTCAAAATAAGTGCAGGTTCTTAAGGGACAATCCATTTTTCTCTCATTTTCATGAGCGTGCAAACCGTATCCCCAGGGGAGGGGATTAGGGAACCGTGCATGCTTTTAACAATGAAAAATGATTATCCATCAGAGGTGTTTTTTTTCTCCTTTTCTTTGTTTTCTTTGGGGAAAAATAGTTTTGCATGTATTTGCACGTTCAGACAAATGATGACAAAAAATTAAACGACCCTTACTCAGGTTGTACAGTTTGCTTCTCTCAGTGCTTATGTACGGTACGTCCCCAAAGTAAAGACGACGTCTGTGAAACATAACAAACCTAACCTCGAAAAACAAGCTGTGTATACATACTTAGAATAATTCACTTAGAAGGAACTGTTTCACAAGTTGTGCATCAGTCCGTGGTGAGAGCGGAATTTCCACCTCATCGCAGATCCGTGCTTTGTTTCACCAGGCGCAACCCGGGTAGCCGCAACGCCTCCCCAACCGAGAATGAAGATCCCCGCCTGCAGCACGCTCATCAGAACCCCAGCATGGCGCCCGACCCCTCCCATCACCAGCAGCCACCCCAGCAGCAGCAGCAACAGCAGCACAGGACGATGTACCAACAGCGTAGTCAACAGGCCGCTGCCCACCACGGGTTGACTCAGCAGGAGGTGGCATACATTGAGCAGCAACAGCAGCAGCAGCAACAGCAGGTACGCGTAAAAGTACGTGCAGGTGGATTGTCCAGGGGGCTGGGTTTGCCGCTTGGACCGACACGAGTCGAATAGATTAAATATGTGCGACCCTACCCAACGATGGAGTTTCAAGTCACCCAAGCCAGTTTTGAGTTGAAGGCCTTGACAAGAATCTTACACAGTGTAGAGCAGTTGAACCCTCAACATTTTCACCCATGTGGTGTCGGCTTTCATTATCCAGATGCATCAAATGAAGGGCTTGGCCTCTTCTAATGTAATGGCCTTAAGACTCGTTTTGTTGGATCGGGCCATATTTGGACGTTCCACTGATAGCCCTCAAAATGAGGAAGCCGGAAATGGAAAATATTAGTGTTAGACTTCTGTAGTTTTTATTTCGCACCTTAATACCATAAACTTTCCTTTTCACCCCGTGGATTTGCAAACTTGCAGCACACACATTCAACACATCTCACAAATAGATACTTATCCATGCAAAATGTAATTAAGTCCTTGGAAGATGACTTTTCACATTTACCCACTTAAACTTTTCTGCTCTTTCACAAGGCCTTAGCCTTTTTCAATTTTCAGTGTGAACCAGGTGAAGAAATTTGTCAGGCAGTACATAACAGACAAACCAATTACTAGTCTTAAGCTGCTATGCTTGAAATCCCTAATGTTTGTACAAACTATCATACATTGTGTAGATTTCAACAAGTTGGCTGCGCTTATCAGTTCAGATGTATGCGTTTTTAAAGATCCTTCTTGTATTGTACCGATTTGCATATAAAATGAGATGGGTGAATGCAGGAGTACTGAATATTTGAAGAGGTTAACTTTAAACTGGAGCAGAATTGTAACGATGTCTTACAAGAGTTTGAACGTATTGGAGGTAGAAAAGAGAACTGCGTAGTTTGACTAATGTGAGACGATTGAATGCTCACACTGACTTTACTCGATGATAGGTACCTGGCCAGCTTCAGATTGACACCGGTCAGATGGACTCGGGCAGTAACATGAGTGACCAGCTACAGTTTGACTACTCAGCTCAGCAGATGGTCCCTAGTATGGACAGTCCTAGTTACGTAGACTACTCCCAGGGGCAGGTAAGAACGAATGTCCCAGAATCATTTGCTGTTTGGTCTTTATCGTCTCCGTGCTATAATCTTACCTCTTCCAGAGCCTAAAAATGTGCCGCCTGTTTGTGTGTTTACGTTAACTGTTCATCAACTTTCCTCCCTGCCTCAGACCACCTGTTATCTCATTAACATTCTTTGGAAGAGGTTACTGTATGCCCGTTATTTGAAGGAATGCCGGTTCAGCTTTCACATGATGAATTCTCATGGGGTTAAAATGCCGACAACTCCGTTGCGTGCAGTTCAGGAAATTGTGATATTGATAGACCTGGTGCGCGTTTTTTTTAACCCAGCCTGGATCTGTACAGATGTTCCAGCAGCGGCAAGCGACACCGCAGGCGATCACTGTGCAGCAGTTAACACCACAACAGCAGCAGTATGCCATTGCTGCGGCGGCTCAGCAGCAACAACTTGGTGAGTCGTTCATCATTTCAACGGAATTGTCCATTGCACGGTCACATTATGGAAGCAGCTCAAATCGTTTTTCCTCACACAGCCGCTTTCCTTCCTCACCACTGGTTATTGTGCATGTATTTCCCCCAAGACTAGGGCTTCAGAATGGTTCACAAGGGAATTGTACCATACTCCAAAGTCCTCTTTTGTTCCAATTTCTGTTACGGATGCATGTCATTTCAAGAGAGTTCTAAGTGCATTGTCAGCATGAGGTGTGGGAGAACATTCATGACTCATGAACATATCCCAGTGGAAATGTTGAGATGGAGTGCTTGGATAATATTCAAAGCGGAACAAACGCCGCTTTTCTCCATGGTGTGAGGGAACAGAAGTGTTGAGAAATGTGTTTGTCATAGTTGATGCAGGGTAGGAATTCCTGTCAGTAAATGATCTACCAGTAAAGAAGCAACTGCTCTGTTAACCTTTTATTTAGGGTTTTTGGGGGTTAGTAATGAGATACTGTGTTTTCATCATCGCTGCAATAACCTGTATTGTGTGTGCTGCTTTTGTTGTTTTGTTAGGTCTAGCACAGACTGCGTTTGCTCCCAACCCGTACATCATTACCGGGGGTCCCAACGGCCAGGATCCATACTCTGTTGCCATCCCAGGTCAGTGGAATGCTATTTAAGGTTACCCTGCAACTTGAACAAATAAAGGAATGGTCTTTCTTAACAACCTTATTCCTGTCTGCCAGACTGAGGCTAAAGTGCAAGCATCTAGTAAAACAGCCACCTTCATTTTCAGCTTCAAGTGCTTTTTGTTTCTGCTGTCAAAATCGGAAATTGTGACAGGCCCAATAGAGTACCGAAGTGTGACGTCATTTAGAACAGGTAGATACCGTACAAACGAATGGAGTATGGTTCATGCACGGGTACTCCCGCTAACGCTTTTTTACACACACAAGCGTGCGTGTGATGTGTTCACTTCGGTACTCTGTAGGGCAGTGGGGAGAGTCACGCGAACGGGAGGAGGTAACCAGTGTCTTCCAGTCTATTGCCAGTGGCCTGTACATTTCTACATGTCAAATTAACGTCTTAACCGTAATTCTTTTCTTTAAACAGGTTAGTTCAGACTGAACCAAAACAAAACCTGGTATGTTGAAATGAATCGTTGAGGGAAATTGAAGTCCGAGTTTACCTTGTTGGCTGTTGTAGGTGGTGCAACGGTCGTGCAGCCTCAGTATGCTTACGGCGTCGCCCCATGGAGCGTGTATCCAGTTGGTATTATTCAGCAGCAACAGGGACAGCAGCAGCAAGGTCAGCAGCAACAGCCTCAACAGCAACAGCAGCAGGTAAGCCGGTTTGACCCGGCAGATACTCTACAAGGGGTGGAAGGCTGACCAGCACGGTCTGCCACTGTCATTTCGGTGTGATATGTCTGTCATTGCCCGAACGAGGTTGCAGTCATGCACAGCTTCAGCCCGGGTTCAAATGCTCATTTGTGTGTAAATATTTGATCGGTTTTTTTTGGGGGGGGGGTTGGGTTGGTTGTTTGTAAATATGCCACGAGCAAGGCTACAGAGCCACTCCAGGTACAGGGCTATTAAAAAAAACAAAAAAGAAGGACTTGAACCATTCAGTTTGTGTGTTTTACTCACAGCTTGGGCTTGATCGCAATTCACGGCAAAGTTGTTATATACACACCTAGTGCAACCGGCATGGAGATACAGTTGCTGTACTTCACGGTTACACTGTTACTGTGTGTATGATCGTGAACGGATCAGTCTGGCTTTTGGAATGATAGCGTGCCCTTAGGTTGATGCGATCAAGCTCGTTTATTTGTTCATGAGCAAGATAATTTGCAGGGATTGCTGTCTTCCTCCCCCAGTACTTTTTCTCAGGGATAGTGAATGCATTGTGTAACAATCAAGATGAATGCGCCTGTATGTTATGCTACTAACCAGTTTTTTATATTAATTTAAGGTACGTGGACAAAATGGCCGCCCAATGACTCCACAACAACAACAACAACAACAGCAGCAGCAGCAGCAGCAACAACAGCAACAACCACCACAAGGGGACCAAGCTGGTAACCAGGCTACTAGCAATCAAGCTGCCGCCATGGCACAGGCACAAGCGCAGGCCTTGCAAGGTACCCGTCTCTGTTAAGGAGATTCCTCTGAGGATGTGGGAATCCAATGCCCCATGTCTGCTCACAGCTCATGCATCGTTTGGTTTGTGAAATTCAAGTTGTAGTAAACGTTTTTAAACTGTTTTATATGGAATGTTCCATATTACGTACCCAAACCTTCCTCTGCAGAGGTCACTTGGTCAGAAGCACAGAGATACACAAGTGGTGTCATTGTGTGTCGTGCAGTAAACAACCCCTCAGAGGGATTTCAGATTGCAATCTGTGCTGTCCAGAAATGGGAACAGTGTTGCAGTAGACCAACTGCACAGCACAAAAGAGCCCTGTGTCGTCACGGAAGCTGTGCAGAAAACACACTCAAAAGACTGGACTTTTGTTATTTGTGCATATGAGCACTGCCACCGATAAGTGAAGCAGCCAGTCACGCAGTATGACGTCTCAGAAATTTAGTAAAGAAACAAGAAAATGTCACTGAGGAGGATCATTAGTTCGGCCATGAATTTTTGATGAGCTAAAAATTATGCATTTGGATTAATTTTTCTAATCGTGTTCACAGTGGACAATTTTGATTGATGGTGAGTTCATGCTGTTTACTTTGAAAATGTCAAAAGGACAATGCTGATGACATGAATATTGATGTACATGAATATTCATTACAGCTGGATACCAGGTGCTTGCCCCAGCCTACTATGACCAAACTGGTGCCCTGATCATCAACCCCAGGCCGGGGACAGTCGGTGCCCCTATGCGGCTTGTACCCCCAGCGCAGGTCATTGTCAGTGCTCCACAGCAAGGTATGGCAGTCTCCCACATCTTGTCCTCCTCGGGGTCCTTTCAGTGTCCACACTGTTGGTTCATTTCCCTCTCTTTCTCTCTCTCTCTAGCTTTGAATGACTGTCTGCTTGCAGAGGTCATTGAGGGTGATGTGGTTACTTGTTAACACCATTGCACTGTGGGAGTTAGTTGCACAGGCCCAAAAAAAAACAGGTTGGAGTCCCTTTTTCCTAGACTTCCTTTGGAAATGCACTTCGCTGTGTGAAGCACCAGATAGCACCCTTGCACAGTGATGATGAGATAACGGCGGTCAGTGTGTAGGCTGAGTGGAAGATCACGTAGCACCTTAATGTGATGACCCAATGCAACAAAATCAGTCACAAGTTGCCAGAGCAACTGTTGATCGAAAAGCCTTGAAAAGAATCTTGCGTGGTGTAAACCAGTGGCTGCCTTCAACATTTTTCAGCCGTGCATTGTCTACTGTCATCTGGATGCTGAACTGGGTGATACATTAAAACAAGGAACTCAGTTTGTTTGAAAATGAGGCCTCAAGGATGCTTTGTGTGGGATCCAGTCTCAACTGGTACTTGCACTGCTGGTTAGGTATACATGTAGGTGTTCAGGAAGTAACAGTGCAGAGGTCGGTAACTAAAGGATTTGAGGTGTGCACTTTGAGTAAGAACTAGAGAATGCAGGAATTTGCAGCCAAGTCTGTCTGAGAATTGATGCATGATACATTTGTCATGTATTGTGCATCATTTGTGTCCCGGTGTCGGGGCACCGTAGAAAGTCGGGGTGTTCGGCCGTCCTGGAAATCAGGGGAAATGAATTTCCCTTTTTCCAGTAAGGGAATTTGAGGAAAAAACCTCAAATCAGGCAAAAAGTCTGTGGATATTCCTTGGCCCAAAAGAGAAAGTGGTCACTCTGTTAAATTTTGTCTTGTGTCTTAACAACAAATTCTCTGAATGATTGGCTGTGATGGAATTCAGTGGAAAAAGTCAAAATGTTAATGATTATCTTGGAAGTTTAAAAATTAATAAGGGAAAACTCTGGGAAGTTTTTGTCTTTGTGAAATGCTGTGAACCCTAAAAATGGTGTTGTGTGCTTTTTTCTGGAATGTGATTATCGGAGAGTGGTTGTGTGGAGTGCGTTTGGTGTCAGGTATAACTCATGTACTCACTCCAGTGCTCTGTTAACCCTAACCTTTCCCAACTTTTCAAAATCCACTAGTGGCTTTGGAAAACTTTACAGGATTGAAGAGATAAAAATCAAGCCACTGTTATTGGTCTAAAACTTCTTCAATGTACCTTTGATGGATGCTGTTAGGTTTCTGTCCAGTCACTAAAAGTAATAAGTTAAGACTTTCCAAGTGGACTTTTTTCTGTTCAAAGTGATCTTGACCTTTAATGTTTCATGTAATGTCAAAATTTGTTCCCCCTACTTCTGAACATTTAAAAAGAGGATTGATCTTGATTCTTATGTAAACATTTTCTAGTGCAATCTTTGTTCTGAGTTGGCCCTTGAGGAGAATAGTAATGTACTGTAGCTAGACCAGGGTGCATTGCCCATACATTCACACGTATTTGTACGGCAGGTTAAGCTCTAAATTTTGGTGAGAAACACAGTCAAAAAATGGTTGACTTAAAACGAACCCCCGTTGACTAATTTCTCGTCAGCGTCTGTAATGAACGGCCTGCCAGCCAACGGTTTTCGTCTGATGGGCAACCAGCAGCAGGGCCAGCAACAGGGCCCGGCGGCGTTGTCCATGTACGGCAGCAATGCTATGGCGTCCAACGCCCCCCAGAACAGCGCCGGCAGCCTGGGCACGTACACTCCCACCAGCTCTGTCTTTAGCAATGGCAGTATTGGGGCCGTAGGGTCATCGGTTGGGGCCATTGGAACCAGTAAGTCACATTGCGTCTCTACCCATTTCTCGTTGATTACCAATTGTTTATCATTTTTCAGAGAGTAAACACAGAGAACCTGAATAATCCTTAACCCCTTCGGGTTTTTTCTAGGCATTCTGCTCAACTCAACAATATGCAACAACAGAAAAAGTATGGCGCCTGCTAAACCTGACAGAATCCAACAAGAACATAAGGCCTCTTGTTCATTCCTCATATCAACAAAATCCAACAGAAAGTGACCACTGTGGGATATCACTGGGTCCAGCGTGATTAAAATTAAGGAAGTTACTGAAACTTTGTAGTCATATTAGGCAAGTGGTTACATATCTTCCTGTTGACACTGAACATGCGTCAAAGTTTTGTCAGGTTACCAGATTTTGTTCAATATGAAGGGGTTCAGTCATTCATTGGTCCTTCAAATTATGAACCCGTTAGGGGACTCAAACTCTCTCCTTTTGTCACAGGAGGCTGACCCAGGCTTTCAGGGTCCTGCATTTAGTATTTAAGCCCTAGATACTTTGATGCTTGTTGTGGGTTTGTTGTGACTAACTTGGGTGTGAACTCTCTTGGCAGCTACAAATATTGTCTGACTTCTTGAAAGTCTGTCCTTTCCAGCCTTTCTACATATTGGGGTTTCTTTGTGTAGACACATTACACCATTTGTACACGTTTGTAATTTACAGACAAACAGCATTCTTACAGTTCCCAAGATTAATTCCAATTTTCCCCCCATTTTTTTTTTTAGTCCAATAACACAATCTTACCAACTCTTTTAATCCTTCTTTAATTAGTATGAAACTGTTAGCAATTATTAAATTGAATCCTATACGTGTAGGTGTTTTAGCAGGAAAAGAGCTCATTTCTTCCAACCAAATCTTTTGAATTTACATTAAGATCTATGGCACTTTGCAGTGCACACTGCATCACTTTGTCATAGGCAGACAATTAAATTGTGTAGCGTGGTTTCATTGTGTGGTTCTCATGTTGATAGTTTGAAGATGGTTGATCGTGATGGAAAATGCAAAAAATGTTATTTCAATGAATTTATTTTACAAAAAAAGAGGATTGATAGTTCTTAATGCAGCACATCTGCTGGGCCCAGTGAGCATTAAAATCAATCCCGCTACGCACATGTACGCACTGATATCAAGGAATGGGCTCAAACAAACTTTCCAGGTGAAGGGATTGTAATTTAAGCCTTGTTGCGATTGGGCTGTGACTCGGATCTCAGTGGACTGCAGTGTATTCAGCTTGCTGCGTGGCTTTTGTTGCGTGCAGGTTTGGGTTCTTCAGGACCGGATTCTCCCACAGCTCGGCGCGATTCCCTGACTGGCAGTGACTACAAGCGGCAGGGCCTGTCCATGAGTCAGTTCTACGGAAGCTCACCCCAGCTGGGACCCATTGGAATGCCGTCCGCCGGAGGCTCACTGACCCCACCGCCATCACAGAGTGGGCTGGGTGGACTTGGCCTCGGTAGGCGCTCTTCTACACAAACCATCTCTTATGTCTTTAGACCCCCCCCCAGTTTTTTTATTCAGGGTTACACTGTGTTTGGATAGCTCTTGTACTGCAAGTCTAACAGAGGGTGTGTTTTTTGGTAGTCGCCATATTGGCGCACGTTTGTAATGGAGATCAGTGATGTGAGTACGCGTAACGAAGTTATCCCTCAATGTATGGTTTTTGCGTACATGCAGAACGCATGCAAGAACCTGCTTGGAAACCTTACAACCTGTCTGTCTTTCTTTTGCTGCTCGGGGGTGCACTTCAACTCAGGGCGGATAGTGAAAATCCTGTGTAGTTTCAAGTAGGATAAAATGAGTAAAAAGCTGGGTGGTTTTTGCAGTTACGAAGATTGAAGACTTCAAAGATGTTTTCAAGGCTAGATGTGTGCATGCTTTGATGAAGTGGTTGTCCACATGTTGCTTCCCTAAACTTAAGTTGACACTAGCTTCCTCGTGTGTTACACCATTCCCCTGCCCCTTCTTGGATCGTATCGGCACCAGTATTGCCAATATATTCATTAACCCTAACCCTCCCAAATCCTCCAATTTTCAATACGATTTTACTTAGACCTTAGGGGGTTGGGGTTAATTAAGGAGCAATATGAGCGTTCATATTTGATTGTACACAGACATTATTCTCACACCCTGCTTGCATTGCAGATAACCTGTTGACTGCACCGAGTTCCTCGTGGGACCGGACATTGCAGAAGAGGGACTGGGGCGCCGGTCGGGCCGTCAACCCCGCGGCACCATTCGGTATGGACACGACAAGATAAAGCGGCACTCGGTGTCTGTCTGCATGGAGTTATCGTGCACTTGTGCTGCTGTACCAGAGATTAATTGAAACCAAGTTGGGCTACTGTTTCAGACTTGTCACAAATGACTCTTGTATCTTGCAACATCATTCCTGTTATTGTGGAAGCAGTAATCTATTTGCCTGAGTAAATATGTGAAGCTTTTTAGTGCATGTATACTGACAAGAAATATCTAGAATAGATGACGTGGGTGAAGTTATTGTTACATGTAATAAATCTTATGAGCATTTTTATTACTTCAATGTTTAGGGAATGGAAAACAAGCAGTTTTTACTTGCCAAGGATTCTGTCTGTTAAGCATTACCATTAAGATACTCGTTTTGCCTACCTAGGGTCAGAGGTGAAATTCCGTAGTGGAGCAGCCACCACCTCCAGCGGTTGGTCCAACACCCTCTTCCCGCCTCGCAGCCTCCGCAGCTCAGCCTACATGGAGAAGAGCGCCCCAGGCCGCAGTCGGCTGCTGGAAGACTTTCGCAACAACCGCTTCCCCAACCTGCAGCTGAGGGACCTGTCGGGCCACATCGTGGAGTTCTCCCAGGACCAGCACGGATCCAGGTTCATTCAGCAGAAACTGGAAAGAGCAACTTCATCCGAGAGACAAATGGTTAGGAATTTCATCCATCAGGCCTTGACAGACCGAGAATTTTTACGTTGAAATAATGTGGACTTGTAGCAACAGATACGGCCGTTTCACAATAGGGCGCCACCAAGAGTTTGCAATGCATTGGCCAATCACAATGCGCGGAATTTGTCGACCCAATTGCGCGTTTGGAAAGGATCGACAAATTTTGCGCGTTCTGATTGGCCAATGCGTTGCAAACTCTTGGTGGCACACTATTGTGAATCGCTCATATTTGCGGCCTTCACAGTTAACAGTTTAACAGCATGCTCTGGGGGAAGTTGAATTGGTATATCTTTTAAATCAGATGTCAGACACATAACAGAGCAGTACTTGCTTCTTCGTGGAGTCTTGGCCCAAAACTGAATTTGAATGATGTTCCTGTACTAAGGGTGGGAATTTACGTTTAATTGGAAGAACATTTAGAAAACTTTCCCCTACAGTTTAAACATGTAAATGTCCCACGCTTGCCATGGTGTCATTGAGAACTTTAAACACAACAGATTGTATACAATGTAAGTAGTTGCCACAAAGTTCCTTGATAAATTCATGGTTTTCCTTCAACATGACCGAGCAGTAAAGTTTTCTGAAAATCAGATTTCATTTTACAGGCATTGTTAACAAAAATGAACGCCAGATTTGCATCAGTTAAGATGTCAAACCACTATTAAAGGGGCAGTTCCATTTAAACGTTTGGGAAAGTCTGTAAATGCATTTGGAACTTTCTTTGTTTAAACGTGTAAATGCCCCACCTTTATCCTGTACGGCCTGCACAGATGTCTATAGGTATGCAACTTGAGCCTTATCAATAGAGGGCGCTACCAAGAAGCTGAACCTAAATCCAGTCTTGGCAGTTTCTGCAAGCATACCCAAAAAATTCCGAGTGCACCTCTCGCGCTCGAATGACCCTGCTTTGATATGTGTGACTCCCTTCTTACAGGTGTTCAGTGAGATCCTTGGAGCAGCCTACAGCCTCATGACGGACGTCTTCGGTAACTATGTCATCCAGAAATTCTTTGAGTTTGGCACAACTGAACAGAAGCAGGCGTTGGCCCAGCGCATCCGGGGACACGTCCTGCCACTGGCGCTGCAGATGTATGGATGTCGTGTCATCCAGAAGGCCTTGGAATCCATCCCACCAGAGCTTCAGGTAAGACAAACGAACTAAGCTTTGTGTTTTGGATTTCAAATGCAAGTACGGTTTTTGTTTTATTTGAATGAAAATCGTCTCTGCCTTTGATATGAGATTGTGTACGAAAGCCTATCTTGTAGCATTTTGAAAAGAAACAATTGAATGAATGGTGTTGTGGCTGAGCACAGCCGCGGTAGGCTGCAGTGGTATCAGCACAGGAAAACTCACCAGTTTGACTTTTGATCTCTCATTCCCCCACCCCCCAGTTGGAGGTCGTTCAGGAGTTAGACGGCCATGTCTTGAAGTGCGTCAAGGATCAGAACGGCAACCATGTTGTGCAGAAGTGCATTGAGTGCGTGGACCCGGTGGGTCTGCAGTTCATCGTCGAGGCCTTCCGGTCTCAGGTCTACTCCCTGTCCACTCACCCCTACGGCTGCCGTGTCATCCAGCGCATCCTGGAGCACTGCACAGTGGACCAGACGAAGCCATTACTGGACGAGCTGCATGAGCATACGGAGTCGCTTGTACAGGATCAGTATGGAAATTATGTAATACAGGTAAGGTCTCAGGATGTGAGTAACCAATTAGGACAGAGCCAACAAGATTAAACCAAGGTTTGTTGAAACTTGGCATGCGTATCAAGGCATCCATTATAAGTTTACATGTGGGGCTTTCAATCTGGTTTGACGAAAGGTCATAGTTAATACTCTCATAGGTGTTTGATAGTGTGATGAGTACAGTCTGTGGGAAAAGATAACTTTTAGGGCCTTCATTTCTTGCAAAGAAAAAAGGACATTTTCTGAAAGAAGTAGGCCAGATTTTCATGCAAAATGGGTGTTAAGGTGGTAGCATGACATCAGTGGAAAAATATCTGAAGGCTTGGCGCACTATAAAAAACAACAGCATTCCAGCAGTATCGGAAAAAATATACAGTGGAGTACTATTTTGTGTCATGTTGAGTTGTGGTTGGCGTGAGTGGGATGTACATATACTTTCTGGAGCAGCATTTCATATGTAATTTTTTTTCTCCTTGCCTTGCAAGGATTTTGAAAAAACAATCAAACACTGTCCTTATTATATCACCACACTTTTCTGTCAGTCTACTTTCCTTCAACTTGCTGTGCTTGATTAATAAGTTACGAAGACTCCAAAACACATTCGTCAGGGGTCTCAATCTGGGAAGCGATATGTTGTAGAGAAAGCTAAACGTTAAATGGAATGAGCGTGTCTGTGCTGAATAATTCTTGTAATCCATGCATTCTGGTAAAATTTTCCATAATCCATACTCTTCCAGATTCAGCCTGTTAATATGTTGTAGTCTGACTCAGAAAGTGCTGAAAGATTTCCTACATTTTTCCCTCTCTTCTTCCTGTAGCATGTCTTGGAACATGGTCGCCCAGAGGATAAGAGCAAAATCGTGGCAGAGTTGCGAGGGAAGGTTCTTGCTCTCAGCCAGCACAAATTTGCCAGGTAGGACATCTGTGCAACTCCTCAAGAAATTGATATGTGTAATCAGTGTTCTTGCTAGGACCATTTATGGTGCCGGGTAAATTTTTGGATTACCAAACGTAGCGTGCGCAGTGAGCGGAGCTCTCGCAGCCCATAGCTGGGTTTTGAGGGGAATCCCAGAAGGGATTTCCCCCTACGTCATCGTGAAGGCATTTTTACAATAATGCTTTTGCAATCAGTGGCTAATTTGATGCGAAGAAAATGAGATACATATTTCTTAGGTCTTTGCTTACTTGTTTAAAATTGCAAAGTAGTGCAAAACTGCAACTTTGTAAGCTTGAAATATGATCAAATTGGTACATTTTCAGCAATATTTCAGTTAATTTTTTGGAAAATCCGCACTGGGCGGCACAGCCAATTTGAACTCAAGAGCTGGGTGGAAATTTACAGTACCGGTTTGGTTCCGCCTGGCACCGCCCACCGTGGCTAGAACACTGTAACACCGTATGGTTTTTGCATCAAAACACGGACACCCTTGCAGTGCCCTTGTAGTGAAAGTCAACCCTGAAAATTAAGATCCATGGTCTGCATGGCAACATTTAGAAATGTTTACATTTGTCCCCAAGCATTTGATAGTAAATCTTCACATTTGTTGTAGAATGGATAGTTTTCCAATAATTTGCTTCAGCAACTTCCTTTACTCACTCTGGACCTATCACGAGGCAGGGGGAATTTACCCTTTTTAATTTCAGTTGACAAGATGTTGGATAACAACAGAAAATATTACCCTTTCAATGACAGAGACTGTCTTTCTGGTGGGCGACCTAAAATGGGAAAAGTAAACCATTGTCACGGTGACTTTTAATTTGAAGTCCACAGTGATCATGGTTTTTAAGGAGGAAGGAAGTTCAATTTTGTTCTCTAAAGATTCGAAAGAGACCTGTGGCATCGTCTTTTTCGCCTCATATTTTTGGAGCGGAGTTACCTACGAGTATAAATTTGGTATCACTGAAAAGCCCATTCCTTTCTCTTTATTCTCATATGCATATCTCAAAAAGTCATAAATGGGGATCATTCCTCAATATGCCATGGCATTTTCTCAAATCCGCAAGATTTGAGAAAAAATGATAGGTGTTTCTTCTTCTTGGGTCAAATGAACCACCTGACATCCGACCCTGCACATTATTAGGAGAAAGTCAGTGTGGTTACAACTATGTAAAAAGTGGTAAAGTTGTTAGAATCTGACCTTGTTTTGCTATTTCCTCCTTTTGAATGACAATAATCCGATTTTCAATGTATGTATGGTTTAAATCAACTCTAAATATGGGCACAACAAATTATGGCATAGGAAAGGATGTGTCGTCATTGAAATGTGGTTCCTTTGATTTAGAATGGTGTTTACTTCAAACTTATTTCCTTGATGACCGGGGCCCCACATTTTAGCCCTGTTTTCATCAAAACAAGCAAAAAGTTTTGAGTAAGGGATCGTCTCCAAAGTCCGGAATGTACCCGCTCTGTTAGACTGCTCACACTGGAGCGTGTGTGTCCCACCAGGACATTCGCGTATCAATGGGAAGAGTATCAGTGTGCAAAGATGGTTCTGAGGTAGCCTTCCAGTAGGAATGCTGTGTTCTATGTGGAACTGCTGTCCAGTCTGCAATGAGAACAAGGCTTTGCAAAGGGAACGTCCCGACTGTTCCAAATTATGAGACATTCCGTTGAATATGAGAATCTAGATTGAAGATGCAATAGCTTGATTTTTTTTTTTGGTTTCTTCGTTCCAAGCAGTAATAAAAGCATTTGTGTTTGTCAATTCACTTGTGATTTTTCGGTTTGGTTCAGCAATGTGGTTGAGAAGTGCGTGACACATTCATCTCGTCCAGAGAGGGCGCTACTGATAGATGAGGTCTGCTCCTTCAATGTCAATGATGGGTAAGTCAAGTGAGACAAGCCTCAGATGCAGTGTGAAATTTTGTAACCGGAATTTGCAAGTAGAAGAGATCTGTAAAATGGGCTGTTTGTTTTTCAGTGAAATGATCAAGATTATTGAAATTAAAATGAAAAGTCAAGAGCCAAGCTTTAATTGTATCACAGATTGAAGAAGCATAAGATTTGATGCTGTTTTGGCGACTGGCCTCAACATCCATTTTAAATCACAGCGTCTTTTTTCCCTTCCCAGTAGTAACAGTGCCTTGTACACCATGATGAAGGACCAGTATGCCAACTACGTCGTCCAGAAGATGATCGACGTGGCTGAGCCTAACCAACGCAAGATCCTGATGCACAAGATCCGGCCTCACGTGGGCACACTGAGAAAGTTCACTTACGGCAAGCACATCCTCGCCAAGTTGGAGAAGTTCTTCATGAAGAGCAGCAATGACCTGGGACCCATTGGAGGGCCCCCTAATGGGAGCTTGTCTGTTTGAGTGAGTGCCTCCCACACTCAGGTGGCCTGCCTCAGTTTTGTTGATGGTTGGAGAGTACTCAAATTACGACCTTCAGGTCTTGGGTAAGTTGAGAAGGTATGTAGGTAATTCAGAGGTTGCCTGCTAGGTAAATGAGTGCATGTCTTGATTTTTCCTGACTTTCTTGAAGAGGTCATTTATTTCTTGGAGCTAATACTCTATTTTACAGGACTTCTGCAATTTCTGTCATCAGTAATTTTTTGTAATTTGTGGAACACAATATTGTTGACATTTAACTGTCTGAGTGAACGATGTTTCAGTTGAAAATGTAAGAAAAAAAAAAGAAATTAAAAAAATGGCAAATGATTCTAAAAGATAACAAGTGGCACGCAATGTTGAAGAAATCAAGAAAGGTCGATCTTCTATAGGTCAGAGATTGAGGAGGAAAAAAAATTTCAAAGTGAGTTCATTGTATCTTTTTAATTTTTTTTTTTATGTTCAATATTACTACTTGTAAAAATGGTTTTTAATTCCTTTCCTGGTAAGGGAGAGCCCATTGAGGTTTACATTTGATTCATGGAAAAAAGGTGGAAGGATCTGAGCAGTTAAATTTGTTTGCGATATCATTTGTAAGGTGATGTTTGGTTTTCAGACTTGAATTTTTATTTCATTTTTACTTACAAATTTCATATTTGGCAGTAATGCTTAGTAACCTGTAAGTATATGTATTACTAAACAGACAAAGTGCCGGCTTTATTTTTACCGGATTTACTGTAGTTTGTGTGGAGTGTTTGAATATTAAAAAAAGAAAAAGCTCAGATTTATCATTATGCTTGCTTTGTAAGGAATCACCCTTGTAGAAACTGTAGACATATAGAATATGTATAGTATATGCAGTGTTTTGTGTAGATAGTCATGGACATTTAGAGCCATTTTTGGTGTCAGAAAAGAGCACTGGTATATTTTCGGATGTTAGTCAGTGAAATTGTAGAGACTGCTTTGTTGGTGGAGTGTGTTTTCAGGAAAATGAACAACGGACAACATGTCGTTGAGGATTTTGTAAAGTGTCAGAACTTCCATTGCTGGCAAAACAAGTGCTCCCTTCTTTACCGTGGCTCTAGAAATACGTCCTATTTCAGTAACTTTGGAACAGTAGGTCTTACGGTGGTGTATGTATTGGTATCAAGCGTTGCATATAATTCACAGTAGTTATAAACTTTAGAATAGTATGCCTGAAGATTCTAGTTTGGCTTACTTGTAATTCTTGCTGTCTTTTCAAGCTGTTTTACTAGTCCCAAAATTCCCTTTCCTTGAAATGAATTATCCGAAAAATCGGTCTCACAAAGCCAGTGATTTGAAAATATTTAGTTTTGGAATCAGGTTTTGCAAACAGTTGTCTTCTATTTGAATAGAATTTTTTTGGCATTTTTTTTTTCCCCCAAGCATCTTCGCTCTGAACATCAGGCAAATTAGCTGTGTTTTTTTCCCATATGAAATAGATACAAAGCAAGTGGTCTTTAGGTGAATTCAGTCTTCCAGTATGTGCCTTGGTATTATACAGGACAGTGTATCACGAATTTTGCTTTCTGCCGTTTCACCCAATTCGTCCGCACAGTTTTTGTCAGCAGTTTTTTTCTAAAGGAAATAGGACCTCATAACCCTGAACAGATGAACTTTTATGTGATGTCTGAGATAACAGGACTTATGTCAGTTCCATGTGTTATGCAGTCGGCAGCAGTAATGTGTCTTCGGAGCTATTGGTTTGGACAGTATTACTGATCTGCTAGTCCCATGCCTAGAATATGGGGGGGGTGTCAGTTGCCTTTATGGCCACACCTAGGAAACCTTGGTATGGAACTGATGGTTATTGGATTGTCGGGTGCAAGACGATGAGGCCACTGTAAAAGGGATAAAAATGGTGAACATCTGATTGATTTATTTTGATCACTAAAAGAAACAAAAGGTGAAATTGCAATGGTTGCTCTTCTTGTTCAAGAGCTTTTTCCAAGACTGAATCTTCAAAAGAACCAGCCCGAATCTGAAAGGTTCTGGATGCAAAAGCCACAAAGAACAGGTGAATTCATCTTCCGACGAGAAGGTGAAAGTTCTTGGCTGTTTTTTGAGGTAGAGTTGTCCAGGACAGCTGGATCTTACGGGCTGCGGTTGTGTTATAGAGCTGGACATTAAAGGACGGGATTGTCACTTGGCACTGTTCAAGCTTCACTTCACACTGAAACTCTGAGTTTGATGTCGCATTAAGCTGTTTGGAGCACATAGAAACGGTGATTCGATCATGATCCAGAACAAGAAAAACATGCAGCAGGCTCACTCGTAATGTTGACCCCTGAATTTCCCCCCGTACATTTTTCTTCCACAGTTTTTAGTTTAAAGTGGACAATTTTTAGGTTTATTTAGGTTTATTCACTGTATTTTAAGTGTACATTTGTATGATTTCTTCCTCGTTTTCTTTTTTGTAAAAAAAAAAAGCCTGACCCTGTTGCTGATTTAACGTGTACATCCTTACCTCTGGTTTTTGTAAAATGCATTTTTTTTGTTTCTTTTTAGGTTTGGGTGGAAATGGAAAGAAATCTTGCACTTAGATTGTATATACTGAGCCTTCTAAAATCAAATGGGAAAAAATATCGTACTTTTAACCTGGAGGATGAATTGTCACAGTGTATTAGGAAACTATTGGGGTTACTTGTTCAAAAGAAGCGCAAACTAAGGTGTTTTAAGGCACACAACTACTTGAAGGTAAAAACATGTCTAAATTATGTCAAAAACCAACAGGAAGATAAGAACACCCACGCCTATATAGAAGTAGCAACAATAATCATATCAGCTTGGGGTTCCAAAAGCAATTCCATTTTTTTAAAAAAGAAATTAGAAAAATCTTTCACTTCAGAAGTTGTTTCCCTCGTGTTTAACACTGAGCCCTGAACACTGGTGCCAAGTGGATCAGAGTGTGCTCTTGACTAGGCCGACAGTGGCAATACCCGACTCTTTCTAGATTTGCACATTGCCACACTTATCACTAAATTGAAATTCCCCCCCCCCAGTTTTTTGAGATCGCTATCGGTGTGCAAGACATCTTGATCTGCAAGACTTGCGTCGCCGTGACTGTGCCAGTAGTTATCCCTTAATGTCCCGGTTCCGGACCATGTTTCAATGTGTATCTGTCCCAACAGAGAATCAGGTGTTTAACTTTGTTAAAATGGAAACCTTGTATGTTGTTGTGTACTGTCCATAAGCAGCAAGGCATAACTGGTTCCATTGGTGCTAAACATTTGTTTATATATTTAAAAAAAAAAAACTGGTTTTCCAGGTGACTAGCAATCCACGCTTTCTGTGGGTACCTCTGTACATTATGTCGGCCATTTTTTTGCATTGGTTCGACCCTGTAAATTACTGTACCAAATGAAAGACGTCGGTGACCTAAGGACAGCAGTATGTAGACCTGCCTAACGTCCTTGGCGTATTGCTGGAGGTCCTAAGCATGATTTTATCCTGATCCTGTCGAGGTCAAATTCTTATCATCCTTCCTACTAGCCGGTGTATCATAACCTTATTCCAAGTCATGCATCTGTGTACTAGTGTAGAATGGGGAACTCACGTTTCCTAACAATTCTGCCAGGTTTTTTTTTTTCTTGCTATGAAAGACTATTTGACGGAGTTTTTGAGGAAAGTTTGAACCCATCAGGCCCCAGTTTAATATTGTAATTGCTGTGCTAGCCTTAATGTGGAGATAACCTTAAATTGACAAGGGGGACTCATTTACCTGAATCCACATTGTAATCATAAAGTGTTGGCTTCTGCTTCCGAAGTATGCACCTCTAATTACACGTCAGAGAGTAAAGACATGCTGTCGATACATGAACCCCCCCCATTTTTTTTTTAAAGTAAAAGAAACTCAAACCGATCTTGAGAAACTGATGAATTTTCATCACCACTGGCCTTTCTGTGATGCTTTGAGTGAAAGGCAGTTTGTTGTGTACAGAAGACTACGTGGCCAATTGGCCAAACCACAAAAGTGTGCAAAAAGTTGAATGTTCGTTTGAACTTCTGAGAGCGAACGCCCGCAATCACAGATATTTTTCATGGGTCAAATGATAGATATAATAGTTGCTTTCCAAGTGAAATGTGTACAGTACCATACCAGGTGTGAGTGAATATGCACCAGCAAATGTACAAAATGTTCCATAGATTTTGAACAATTTTTTTGAATGACAATACCAGAAAATACATGTACAGTTTTTGCTGAGTAAGTGTAGTTTTTTGCCAACTGAATTAGATGTGACATGCCAGTCATTTTGGCACTGCAATGATTTTGATACAACACAGAAAAGGTGTTATTTTTGTTTCCAATGTGCTGCCCTTGTAAGGAAATTGTGAATACCAATTTTGCCATTTTTATCATGGTTTTGGATTAGTGCTTTAGATTGTATTATAATTCCACATTGACAAGTCAGCGGCATTTCAAAGGGCTTGGTGTATATTGAATATTTTCATGCAAAAATTTACTATGGGGAATTTTTTTAATCCCGAAATGTTGATATTTTGTCAGTCTTTATTGCTTCTTTATATCGGTGTATCTCTCTGTTGATCTTTCTGTCAGTTGCCTGTTAATTTTTGGGTTGTCAAGAGATTTCGTTATAAATATCTTATAAAATGAGGATTAATTTTATTTGTGCATACTAAGGTACCCTCAAGAATCCACTGGTTTGTAATATGTTTCCTCCAGTAAGCATGTATACATTGTAGATTTATTATTGATACTGTAATTGCAAATAGTGAAACAATCCTGAACATTTTTCTGCTACTGACCTGTATAAAAAAAACGTGATGTACAAAAGAAAGATGTAAATTCCCGAGTAAAGTATAAAACAAATAATGTAAAAAGACTTCCTGCTGGAAATACAGGTTATTGATACAATGTTAATAGAACTAGAATGAGGTCATTCCGCCATTAAATAACTATGATTTTTGGTGCAGAAGTGTTCAGTTTTACCAGTTTTTTTTCTCTCTCTCTCTCTTTTCCTGGGAGGGATAGATCATTGTAAGTTGCCATTTCGACTATGCAATGCGTGTACTGCTGATACAGGATGTAACTTTTATGTCACACGTGGAGATGTGAACTACTGTTTGTAATTGTCAGATTCAAAAAAATCTTATAGCCATCCTTTGTTTTCCATGTCAGTGATTTACGGACCCCAGAATGTAGACAAGTTGTTCAGTTTGGTCAAGTAGCATTTCTGTTCTATCCAGTCTGTCAAGTGATGTTGAATTCCAATTCATGTTAAAATGAAGAAACTCCAGAGACCAAAATGCACAACACGTTTCTCGCGTTTCACATGGAACAAATGAACAAAAAAGGCATTGTTTATATTGTAATGAGCATTAGTTTCTCCCTTTGAGCACCTACAATTTAACGGGACATTTAATGGTGGTGTGACCTCCTTACCCTTTCTGTATCAAAGAGACATTGTAAATTTGTAGTTTTATTCTTTCTCGTAATTTTTTGCAGAAACTTGAGTTGCAACATGTTTATAGGGTCATCCCCATTTTTCTACAGAAACAGCAACATTGTATAATAAGTCCCAGCCCGGAGGGATGCATTCTGTCTGAATGCATACCCGGGCAGTCCGTCATCTTTCACTAGTTGGATTCCCTTTACAAGAAAAAAAAATATTTTGCGGCTGTTTAAGACAGGATTTTATCCAAATAAGTGTCCAGTTGGTGGAATCCTTCTTGTTGGGCCTTTCACTAAAAAGAAACAAATTACATTTCTCGAAATACTTCAAAATAGTGCCTTGAGCTATAAAAATAATTCTTTGTAATAACAATACAGTTGAGTTGCATTTGTAATCCTCTGCATTGTACATGGTGTAAGAAATTTAAAAAAAGAATAAAATCATAGCGCATTTTTGGCGGAATTTTTGGTAAACGACATTTCTTTTTCTTTTCCTTTGAATGATCACTTTTTCTAACAGTGTAACCAGATTTATAGTTGCTTGTGCGGTAGAATAAGTCCTTTGTATGTCATATGAAAACAACCGACCTGAGTGTTAGTGGCATGCCCTGTATGAGCAAGGCTGCCTAGTCTTTCTTTTTTTTTTGAAGGTTTTTGGTTTTCACTACAGAGTGACACTAAATGTCCAATGATTTCTGGCAGCGTTTGTGGAATGTCTCTAAGGTCATTGCACGTTCAATTACGAGGTGCCCCGGCAGGTGGCCAGTCAGTTTACTCCTTGTCTATACCAGTGATCTATCTCTCGCCCTCAGAGATGGTCTACTTCCTTTTCTTGTCTTCTGCCGACCACGGTTACTCCCTTGCTCAACGCAAATTATGCACAGAGTTACATATATTACAATGTTGCAAATCAAAATGAAAATACTACTTTGTAATATCCTGTATCTATGTCGTTCACTGGACCTGCACATTTTTGAAGACAACCAACCTCATTTTCGTATAGAAATCATTGGTGTACAGTGATGTATTATCGCGTTGAAACCAAGTAAAAATACATGAAATAGACGTTTGTAATCAAAGTATGAACATAGTATATGAATAACGGTAAATAAATTGTAAATGCTTACTCCATCCCAAGGTATTATAAATAGGCCAATGTGCCAAAATTTGTTAAATAACCATTTTGTCTGTGTATACATGTGCCGTAAATGCGATAATTTATTTCATGTTTGATAAATTTCTTTTCTTCGGCTTTTTGTTTTTCTTTTGGGAGATAAATGATTCAACATGGCTGTTGTAGATTTGTATAATTAATGTAATATTTTCGTTTCGCCGTGCGGCAAGGTGTTTTCGCTTGTACTTTACAGTTTTATTTTAGTTTCACATTGCAGAGCAGAGTTAAGCCACTCTTAGAGATTATGGAACCTTTTATCCTGTTCATTTTTATAGTGATTTTCAGTATTGTATTCAAATGCAACCTATGTTGACGTGATGCCAAGGCCAGAACAGTATGAAAGGACAGTGATTGGTCGTTCGTTGTAAACCTCGTGATGTCATCACGAGACGTTTATAGTCAGAAACTTAGTGTGCAAAGGACGTGTGTATGCTGCGCAGCCCGTCCATTGAGCAGAGGCGTTTGTAAAGAGTTTAGAAAAGTTGTATTAAAAAGCTGATAAAGTCGTAATTGCCTAGCTATGCGCATTTTCGATGTACTTCTAGAACCGCTTCAGTGTTTAACAAGCAAGAAAACTCCCATCCGTGATAGGTTTTACTTATTTACTCGAATAAATTTCCCGCTTTTGCAAATGTGACGTCGTTGCGCTCTTTTGTGGCCTTTATTTCTATTGTTACTGGTGGTCACCTTCTTTTTTCAGTTACACAACTATCTGGTGATATACTATGTATTGTCCTTTGGGGAAAATGGTTTTTGACAGGAGACTAGTCTTCATGCCTCATGGAAGCTTCCCCTGGTGAAATGCTGTGTTTACTCCCCTTCGAGAAAAAAATCCTCCAGAGCCACGATTATAGCCTTTATTCAAGTCGGGGTTCCTCGTGTAGTGTGTTGTGTAAATTGCCCCTGGGATGAGGATAACGCATAAGAGACTGAAGCACGAATCAGTATTGTATTGATAAGTTTTGAGCGTCAATATGCTTGCAGGAATGAGACATGAAATGTCCTGTTTGCAAAAGTTCTACGTGTGTTAAACCATAAAGCCTAAAACCGCAAAGATCTGCATCGAGCGGAAACAAGCAGACTTACAGTATCACGCACACAACCAGTTGTGAATTGAACTTTGCTTTTTTTTGGGGGGGGGGTTGTCGACATCAATTGGTTTGAAAATGTCCTTTTTTGGACCAGTCAAAAGATTCGAAAATATCGACTGTTACAGCGTCAGTGTGGGGATATTGATAGGTAACTCGGTGTGTGATGGTTGTGTATCGAACACCAAATGTTTGATTCCAACTGATTCCCTGGAAGCTGAACATGGAAATAGTGTTTTTGGTTTTTTGTTTTGTTTGGGGTTTTTTGTGTGCCGTTTTTCAGCTGTCATCGCCATTTTTGGACAATTTAGCTGTTGGACGGCATGTTAAACGTGGCCCCATGACCGAAAAGTGGTCAGGTTATCAAATTTCCCTACCCCCTTGTCAAAACCAGGAGGTTGAATCACCCCCTCCGCTTTGTATACCTATGCTGTACTCATGGAATATAATGCGACCAAATGGTCCGTGATGCGACCGAGCAGTGGTAATTTAATGGTTGAAAACGGAAAAGGAGAATCAACCGACTCAAGATTTGCTACCCGCCTTGAGCAGAATCACCCCCTCATCGGTTGAAAAGAGCCATGTCGGTCAGGAGCGTTATTTTGTTGGTAGCGATTTGACCGTAACGAGTGCAATTTATAGTCGTTCGTGAACCAGCGAAGTGTAGTTCCGACCAAAGGAGCCTTCGTTGCTAGAGAAATTGTGCCATTTCTTGCTCCAGCTCGGGGGTCATAGCGGCGTCCCATTGTAAATATTGAGAGTTCGGATGACACACAAGTGTTCTGAATATGCATTATATGCACACCGTTTAAAGGGATAGCTTTTATGTTCATGTACGCGCGCTATACTTTATTCTGTGCTAAATATTCAATTTCAGCTGAATTTACATGTACATTGAACAATTTACAAACTTATTTTGTGGTTGATCAGTTAGAAACGAAAACGGATTGTTAGGCTTATGGCAAGGTGTGAGATCAGTGAAACAAAAAGAAGTTCACATTAAAAGAATGGAAATGTATAACGATTAAAATATTTAAAAAAAACACTGAGGTTTCATGGACAAGGCGGTTGGTTGGTTGCCCGTCAGCGCGGCGCGGTCGGCAGGATTAACTTTGCGCAAACAGTTAACTGACGACAGAGTGTATTGTACAGCAATTTTTATTACAGCGTGTAACACACTAATTCATTTTTGTCTGTAGAGAAATAGACCCCCATTGGCGGGTAGAACGATCAGGATTAGAGGCAGCTTAATCAAACTGGTCATTTCACTGTCTAAAATTTCAATATTTCGAAATATAATAATAATAATAATAATAATAATAATAAGTTAGTATTTATATAGCGCCCGTCCATGATAAAATCGTGCTCCAGGGCGCTTTCCAAAAAGTTAAGACACTGGTTAAAACTACAATACAATTACACTAAAAACAATAAAAATAGTAAAACAAATTATTGTAAACAATAAAAATAAAAATTAGCAATTAAAAAGTTTTAAAATGATCCAAAGATCTGTAAAATATGCCTACCTCAAAAAGGGAATTTGGACAATTAGATTAAAAAAAACGCTTGCTTAAAAAGATGAGTCTTTAATCCGGATTTAAATATACAGAGGAGTGGAACTCTTAGGCCATTTTCTAATAATCAACTTCGTCTCCGTCTAAGGCTTCCTTCCCAAAATCAATCGATCGTGGGCCTGAAGCGTTTAAATTCAATTGGATTACTGTAATTTCTGGCTCTCGTGCATCTTATTTGATGTTTTGTGGCCCTATTTAACTTATTACTGCGCTATACAGCTTCAAAGTTAGCTAGTTAAAAAAAAATGAAGTCTGAGGCGGAGCCAAAATGGAGTATTTGAAAACGGCCTTAGATTTTCACAGACACGCCCAGTACTCTACAGCTAAATTTCCTGGAAAATCTGAGTTGGTAAAATACAGATTTTTGTGACTGGGACCTGTCGGAGTTCATGTGAAATCCTGTTACTGGGATCAACTGATACATTGTGTTCCTGAAATGACATCCACCAAAATGTTGAATGGCACATTGCAATAGTATAAATGATAATGACTATTTGTACATTTTAAGGTTTTCCACTGTGTGTTGTATTTTCTATTGTTTCGCATCGATCGTGTTATTTTTCTAATTTCCATTATTTCGTATTTCTTATACTTTGGTACTCTTTTTAAACTTTTTTTTTACATTTTTATTCTCTTTCTAACAAGTATCGTGGCTGAACACACCTTTTTGTTCTTCTTTGACATCCACTGTAATTTTCAAAATGTTTAAATGTGCAAAGATTTTTTTAAAAGAAGATAAATGTATATTAATAATAATTCCAGTAACTACACAATACAATACAAAACTAATAAGCTTAACAATACCAATTGAAAAGTAAACAAGGAATACCCGGAACGATATAAACAATGAAGAATATCAGAAGCATGAGATATCAACCAAATGGTATAGGATTAACTATACTGCACAATAGAAGGGTGACGGGGGGCGTGAACAACCTATGGGAGTCTCATCCCAATCCACAGGCGTCTGGGGTCTCCTTTCCCGGAGAATCTCCTCCAAAGGAAGGATTTGAACCTTCCCGTCCCTGCCCATTTTCAATCCATACTCGGGTGTGTCCGGAGCTAAATTAGGTATCACAGAAGGGTTGTACTGGCACGATCCTTGCCACCAGGACGCCGCCGGCAAGGTCAACTGATCGCGTGGCTTCCTCGGCAATCCCTGTGGTTGTTGATAGGGTTGTGTCACGGTGTCAGCTCCGTCGATGCTGAGGTATGCACACGTGCAGGACATCGAAACATTTGATGGAAACATGCCATCAGCCGATCGCATTTGGCATCCACTGAGGTGATCAGCGGATCCGCTTCTGTCATTGAAGTGGTTTTGACGGGCGGTGTGGGTTAGATGGGAAGGAACTCTCGGAACCTGAAATCTGAAATGACCTTCAGCTGAGGGTGAACTTGGGGCTGTTATGCAAATGTCAGGACTATTGCTTTTGATCACTCTTGTGAAGTAACCTCTTGTATAGAGGGATGATAGTCGGTGCCTGAATTGTCGATGCCTTGATGGGGTCTCTCTGGGACCTGAAGCGATCGGAGGCCGCGAGGGTTGTGCTCTTGCTGGTTCTTCGGGCAGCCTTGCAGGTGGTCTCGAGGACATTATCCTCCCCGATCCTGCCAGTTGCACTGCCTGTTCTTGTGGTAGCCTTGTGGATGGCGAGGGAGTTCTCACATTCATTTGTTCTACGGGTTCCATTTGACCGGGAGTACTTCGAGAAATGCGTTTATATGTCCGGTACACTGCACTCGACATCACTAGCACCAGAACCAAGCACAACAGTCCCAGTGAGATGCCCATGAGTAGCGTGGAGTAACTAAACTTGGGTTCCTCATCCGGACGAACTATGCCATCGTTTAGTAAAATCTCTACAAATGTAGTGGTTGGTGGTTGGGACGTTGAAGGCATATATCCAGGACATATATCCTGACTGCTGGCCTCCGACAGAGGTGTGGCATTGAGATAAGCCGGCGTGCTGCATCGGGCAATCTCACCACCGACAATTGCCCGATCCTTGTACCACAAGTATAGTGGTTGGATGGAGCAGTCACAGTGTAGTGGATTATTGGACACATTGATCACGAATTCGAATTGTGACTGAAGCTGCCCATTCAAGTAGTCATTTATCCCTGTGATTCGATTGGAAGAAAGATCCAAGACTGACAAGCGAAGGTCGTGAATGGCAGACAAGGACACGATTTTATTATAGGATAAATTCAACTCAGTTAGGCCGGTCAGATCTTTAAAAGCGTTTATCTCCAAGTCCCAAATAAAGTTGTGGCTCATGTTAAGTTTTCTGAGTTTGATCAAACCACTGAAAGTGTCATCTAATAGTCGCTCGATACGATTCCTGCTTAAATCAAGTTTCTCGAGATTCCTCAAGGCTTCGAATGCACTGGATTGGATACTTTCAATCGTATTATTACCGAGTAGTAAAATTTCGACACTTATGAGGCTTTCAAAAAAACCCCGCTGAATCACCACCATTCGGTTGCTGCTCAGACTCAAATGCTTCAAGCCAGAAAGTCCTTCGAATGTGTTGTTGGATAGATTTGCAATGTTGTTTTCATCAAGTTCTAAAGTTTCTAGCTTACTAATGTTTGCGAAGGCGTAAGAATCTAGCAGACTGAGCCCGTTCCTCTTGAGGGAAAGCTTACGATTCAAGCCACTGAAACTGGCAAAAGCACCCTTCTCCAGAGATTCGATCCTGTTGCCAACCAAGTTCAAGGAGAACACTTTTTGACAGCCTGTTGCTGATGGAATCTGCGAAATATCGTAGTTTACACAATTTAAGAATTTCTCCTGGTTTTTACATTTGTTTGTACACCTTTGCTCACCCGATGACCCCTGCCTCACGGTTTCTGCGATTGGCAGGCTGCTTATGAAGAATACTGAAGTCCATACAAGATGAATTCCCAACATGGTGGACAACAAGTACGCCATCCTGCACGAGAAATGTAACATGTATCAGGCATTCGGTGCACACACCAGTAAACAACCTGTGTAACCCTACTTCCTCGAGCTCTCGGAGTTGTCAGTTAGTTTTTGCAACCATTAACATTGGGTGTTTTATTTTTAACACAGTTTCACTTTCAGAATATAGTTTTAATCTGGCGGTTGAGTCGAACGTGTCATTTTACGATTGCAATATCCGTTGAGCTACGGTACTGTCCCCTTAGGCTCTGTATTGTGATTCCGTTTGTAATCGGTCTATCTTTGTACATGTAGCTTTCAGACAAGCCTTGATAAGGGAAATTCTCAAAATAAATAAATGATAAAGACTGCTATTTGCATTTTTTTCATGCTGTTATTTCAACCAGTTATCACTTAGCAACGCACTAAAAATCAGTGCAAAAGTACCAAAATTTTCCAATTTATACATGCATTTTCCCACTTACTAACCAACCACCCATGCACTCACCCAGCTACGCACCCTATTTTCAGATAAAAGCACGACTATTTTAGGGGCTTATTCTGGGAAAAGGGTTAAACCGTGTTTGGTAGTCGTTTTGTGGAGTTTTGCTCGAATGTTTAGTGTTCTTTTCAACTTCGAATGTAAGGATTTTTTCATTCAACCCCTTTTTGAAAGTGAAATTTATTTTTTTTTATTCCAATATAAACAGGGAAGTTAACTACACCCTGTGCTTTCAAGCATGGGAAAAATGAAATAGTGTACTTTAAGCAAGTAACTAAACTGAAACTGAAGAACATAT